TCCATTCATCATTTCTATGAACATAAGCATTGATATCATCTCTTCAGTACTACTCTTTGAGAGAAAATTAAGGATCACAAGGACTTTTTTTGAAGGTTGAGGGTTGACTGAGGCTTGGTTAACAAAGGAGTGTGGTTTTTCAAATTAACAGGGTTCAAACTCAAGAGAGTAAAATGAACATGAACCAAACACTCCATCTTGCTCACTCTAAATATTCAACTCCAACCAGATCTCTCAGCCCAAATTCTTCCTCTAATTACACACCCTCTTTCCTTAAGATTCTCTGCCAAGATTTCAAGAGGCCCCTCTCTCTTTTAAGACTATTTATACAGGTGCTTGCTTATTTTGCTTTTGATTTGATTCTTTGATTTTTTTGATTTTTTTTTTGATTTTTTTTGAGTATATGATACTGATAGAATGAAACTAACAAGCACACTTGAATTTGAATAGTGAAAATGATGGAGGGGTGACTCTTCCCTTAAACTTTGCATTAGTTTAATTTCACCACTTCCTCTCAACTTGGCCATTTTTACCAACTACCCCAACTTAATCTCTAATTCATTTTCATTTACTCTCAAGAGTTTGGTCAGGGTGATGAGTTGGTATTTGGGAAAGGTTTAAGGTTATTTGAAGGTTAAGACTCAAACAGGTTTTAAAGGATGGATTCAATTATGGCTGGCTGTTTGGCTCTAGGCTTAAAAAGATTTCAGTTATTTACAATGGAATGCCTTGATAATGTCCAAAACTTTCTCACAAGAACAATCATTCAAGACTCAACCAATGCAAACACATATGCTATGATGATGGCTCTGAAAGTAGAAGTGTATATGATAGATGCATTGTTTAGTCTCTCTCACTCACCAGCTCGACTAAATGTTCAACTACTGATTTTTCATGCCATGCTAATCAAATATCTCACAACTTCATGATCAAGCAAATTGGATGAGTACAACCTCAAAGCAAGTCTCAAAACAAACCATTTTAAGGTGAATCAAAAGATGTGTTTTCACTCTTGTTGATCTAAAAGCCATCTCATTTACTACCTTTCAAAAATGATTTTCAATTTTTCCCATTTTTTTTTGGTGATTGTTAATTCACAAAAAGTATATAAACCACCAGATAGTCCAAACAATTAACAAAATAGAAACTAAAACAACTGGAATTTAAAATGACTGGAATTTGAAATGGCATAAAATTAAAGTGGAACTTCTCTTCCTCAGAACGAGGGTGACAATGACCCTCCATCATCTCTTTCTTTATCATTGCCTGCTCATGCTCCTGCTCCCCACCATGAAGTTGTTCGCCTTGATCTCCACCCCCTCCAAAAAATATAGGATTGTCCCCAGGCCACTTTAGATGGTGGTGGTGGGGTTGGTGCAACTGGGATTTTATGAGTGGCTTTAGAGCTTCCGCCTGAATCGCCACCTCTTGAACAAACTATCTGAAAATTTGACAACCAATTATGGCAACCAAGTTAATCCACAGATTGATCATACAAACAAAACACAATTCTTCATGGGGCATAAGGAATGATCAATAAACATTCTAACATGTGAAGCACTAAAATTATTTCAAAGCCACCAATGATCAAGCAAATATTTCCTACTAACTCCAATGATCAATGATTTCACACTTTGGATAAAGAACACATTCACTTAGGCATTTGATCAAGCAATTGATGGACATGATAAGGAGAAACAACATGCATGTTAATTCTTTCCATGCATGGCTCAAAATTCTTCACAAAATGGAACATTTCAGTGACCACCTTTTTCAAAGCTTTCATTGTGTTCAAATCAAATACTTTTCTCATTCAGGCATTTCTTCGAACACAAAACAGGCAGAAAATGTGAATGCTTATGCATGTTCATGTTGAAAGCTCAAACACCCAAACTCATGCAATTCCACATTGGTATAATTCCAATTCAATAAAAAAGATTCAGAAATGATGCAAGACTATGAAGAGAGTTCAAAGAAATGAAGCACTTACAACCACTTCCATGCAACGAAGAAAAGAGAAGAGAAAAGTGAAGACTTTACCTTGCAATGTCAATAAAAATGGATGATGCAAAATGATGGTTTTATGTAGATAATGAAGAGGGGAGATGAAACGTGAGGAGGTTAATGAGTTTCGTGAGTGGGAGAGGAAGAGAAACGAAGAAGTGGAGATTAGAGTTTTCGTTTTTTTTTTTTTTTTTTTTAAAAACTGATCCAAAATGTCTCCACTCTTTACTTAAAAAAAACAAACCTCGTGAGTTTGAGCTTGGAAATGTATTCCAGAAAAGTGGCGCTAAGGCTGGGGATCTTGGCGCTTCAGCGCTGGCAATTTAATCATATAAAAAGAGTTTGACCAAGACCTGGCGTTAAAGCTGGGAATCATAGCGGTGAGAGTATGAAGTTTAATGTTGATTCCAGGGAGTTGGCGCCATAGATGTAGAAGCTGGCGCTTGAGCTGTGGAATTTCAACATGAAACTGGTCACAAACAAAGACTTGGCGCCATGGCTGTGAGGATTGACGCTTAAGATGTGGAATTTTTTTCACATGAGAGCCCTTGGCAGCAAGTTGGCGCCAAGGCCGTGATGCCAACGCTGCAGCGTCAAGACAGAATTTGATTTTCTAAGTTGAAGCTTACTATCACTCAGGTCCCTAATGTTTTTCATAATTTGATGGAATGGCAGAATCTCTTAAAGCATGTGAGTAAGCTGTTATAACCAAGGTCACACATCATTCATTCCTTTTGAATTATTTTTGTTGAACTCCCTAATTAAACCACTAACTCAAGATTATCAAAATTGTTTAGGCCAATGTGAGTCACCAATACATCACAAACAGGGTGTGCAGCCACATGATCAAGGAACTGAAAATTTTGCAACCATTGAAACACATCAAACAAGCTTATAACCATATGACCCAAAACACCTACTTGCACCAAAAACTTGAAACTCTAACCCTTTCGATTATCTCACACTACAAAAATTGCACACAACTCAAATATATTACCAACATGATTTTATGCACTGCAGCAACAGGTCAACCATGAAACAACCACAATCAGCTATTGCATAACCTGCCTATCACACACAGCAGGGAATCAAACCTCCCTATAAACAAAGACAGTTTTCTCCACAATCCAAATCATCAAACTACTCACAGACCCAACACCTAAAACAATGCAGCACCACTATAAAACAACAAAATAACAGCCAAATAAGGAACAAAATGCTACACAACCACTCTAAAACATCAAATTAACTTCATATATCCTAACACACAAAACATAAAACAAGCTGTCAACATGAGTGGTAGTTTTAACACATTATATATCATTCAAAACACAAAACAACATGCATTATGAAACTAAACATAGCTATGAGCAAAAAACATTAACGAAACAATATTCAACACAAAATTCAGAATTTAAACTAGGAATTAAACAAGAACATGCTAATTTAATGTCTTTAGCTTGACAATCCCTGGCTCCTTCCAATGAGTGATGGTAGTGAGTCTTTCCACTTCACCACCCGGATAATGCTTGAGCCTCTGACCATTGACTAACCACGTCCTTCCAGAGGCAGGGTCTTCAAGTTCAATGGCTCCATATGATCTGACAGATTTAACTGAGAAAGGGCCTGACCACTTAGATTTGAGCTTCCTAGGGAAAAGTTTCAACCTGGAATTGAATAACAATACTTGTTGGCCAGGTTGGACGTTCTTGTTCAGAATCTTCTTGTCATGGTATATCTTGGCTTTGTGCTTGTAAGACTTAGAGGACTCATAAGCTTTCAATCTCCTTTCTTCCCATTCATGCAATTGAAGCTTTCTTTTCTCCCCTGCTGCCTTCAAATCATAATTTAAGGCCTTCAAAGCCCAAAATGCTTTATGTTCCAATCCCACTGGAAGGTGACAAGCTTTACCAATGACCTTTTCCAATTCTTCGTTAGAGATAGGCAAAGCCTTCTCTAGTGGCAATGAGCTCTTGAAATCATTTTGAGTTTCCAAGTACGCATCATCTAATACATCGATTCTAAAGCAATCTTTGTTGCCTTTTGGAAACTTCGTTGTTTCAAATACATTGAAACTCACTTCCTCATCTTGGACCCTTACCTTCAACTTTCCTTCATCCATGTCAATGATAACTCAAGCTGTCTTCATAAAGGGTCTGCCCAATATCAAAGGAACTTCTACATCCTCTTCCATATCCATGACTACGAAATCAACCGGAAACATGAACTTATCAACCTTCACGATCATATCTTCCACTATACCATGTGGAAGCTTAATGGATCTATCTACCAACTGCAAGGTCATCCTTGTAGGTCTCACTTCCACTTCTCCTATCTTCTTCAACATGGATAAGGGCATCAAATTAATACTGGCTCCAAGGTCTAAGAGTGCCTTACCCACTGAAAGATTATCGATTGATACAGGGAGAGTGAAACTGACTGGATCTCTGGACTTCTGAGGTAGAGACTTCTGTATAATGGCACTGCATCCTGCCTCAAGCTCCACAGTTTCTTCTTCAAGAATTCCTCTCTTCTTAGTTAACAATTCCTTCATGAACCTAGCATACATGGGCATTTGCTCCATGGCTTCAGTGAAAAGAATATTAATCTGTAGCTTCTTGATGATATCCAGAAATCTCAGGAATTGCCTTTCTTTTTCTTTCTTGGAAGGAGCATGAGGGTAAGGTAAGTTTTTTACCGGAACAGTAGAATTGACTTCCTTGCCCTTCTTTTTATTCTTCTCCTTCTCAACGTCATTTTTCTCTCTTATTTTCTCACTATTTACACTCTCACTCTTATTGTTTTCTCCCTCATTCTTCTCACTTTCTTCCTCAAACTCTTTCAATTCATTATTTTCTCCCTCATTCTCAGCACCCTCATTGTTCTCACTCACTCCAACATCTTCACTAACTACCTTCCCACTTCTTGTTGTTATGGCTTTGCAATGCTCTTTAAGGTTGGTCTTGGTATTGGTTGAGAATGGGCCTCCGGACATGTCAGCTAATTGTTTAGCTAGCTGACCCACCTGCACCTCCAAGTTCTTGATGGATGCCTCTATGTTCTTCTGGTTTTTCATAGACACCTGCATGAACTGGTTTAGAGTATCCTCCAATTTGCTGGTTCTTTCATGCATAGAAGGATAAACAGGCTGATGTTGCTGTTGTTGTTGTGGTGGTCTATTGGATGGCCCAGCTTCATTTCTCCATCCGTATCCTTGGTTGTTATTGTTGTTTCTCCAACCTTGATTTCCCTGCATATAATTGTTAGTATTATAATTACCCGAATTAAAATTACCTCCTTTTTGTTGGTTTCCCACATAGTTGAGTTCTTCTTCATTTGAAATTTCAGAACAATGACCATTGGGATGATCTCCCCCACAAAAATCACATTTTAGAGAAGAATTTGTTTGATTCGAAGAAGAAGCAATAACATGAAGCTGTTATGGAATCTTGGCCATCTGCTTAGTCAGTGCTTCAATTTGTTGAGATAGCAGCTTGTTCTGAGCAAGGATTGCATAATTTGTACTTAGATCAAGAACTCCTCTTTTATGAGATTGGTGTTTTCCATGCTCTGCTTGGTGATCAGAAGATGCCAAAGATTCTATGATTTGAGTAGCTTCTTCTGGGCTCACAGTCATCATGGTGCCACCAGCTGCTGCATCCAATAACATCTTCACCTCAGGCTTGATTCCATTCACAAAGAAGTTAAGTTAAGCTATATCCTCAAACCCGTGGTTAGGACATTTTTTGAGCAATGACTTAAATATTTCCCAGGCTTCACAAAATG